AGGGGGATAAAATCAGGGACTCAGCTTCTCTTCCTCCTTTCCCTTCTCTTCTCCGCCAAAATTGAAGCATGTGATCACCTTTTCTTATCAGGACTCAAACTATTTGGTCCTCTCCACCATTAAAACCATCTTTCCAAGCAGCCTCCATGTCTCCAGTGTCTTTTTCCCCACTTGGAGCCGAACCCAGAAGGACATTTCTTCCAACAATAGTAAGTACAATATCCATAATATGCCTGCATAAGGTTCAGTATAGTAAGAGAGAATTTCTTCAGCCTGCCCAAAAACTGTAAAAAAAAATGTATAACTTCCAGAAGGAATTGCACTGAAATATGTTACATTACAAAAACATCTGCTTAACCCTAAAATACAAGAGGGAATGAGAAAGAAACTCAAGGCTGGCCCACCTTGATTCTCTTGGATATGAGAAAGAGAGAAAAGGGAAACTCAGTCAGACTTTTAAGATTCTGTTATTAAAAAATGGAGCTCCTTTAAAAATGGAGCCTTCAAAAGGATTGAGAAAATAGCAGCTGCTTAATAACATGCCATGAGGCTTTCTCTATAGGAAACCTGAGCCTCGCGTTGGCTGGGAGAGTCTCTCAGAAGTTGCAAAAAACAGAAGGGTCAGTTAGGTGTGGCTGGCCCTGGATTGGTTGAGGAGGCGGCCAAGTCCTGCAAGTCCTGGGTAGCTGAATGGCGGGTGGGAAGCAAGCCTAAAGCTTCTAAGCTGCACCGATGGGCTTGTCAGCTGGGCCGAGGTTCCCCTGAGTGGCTGAGTGGAAAGCAAACTGAAGGCCTGTGGCGGACTGATGGGGATTGGGGGGAAGGCCTTGGAAGGCCTGGGGCAGGCAAGCATTATAGCTGCCCAAACATAAAGGCAGGTTCCATTATTGTTGTTAACTCAACGACTATCTGTGTCTCAAAAGGCCGGTTGTATGTGTGCACTATACATTATCTCTTCTCATTCTCAACAGGCCTTAGAAATGTGTCAATTGAAGTCGAAGAATTCTGTATATGTCTTCTATTTAATTATCAGCATAATCATAAGCCATAAACTATAAAAGGGTATAAAAGTGATAACATGAATTTAGTAGCCGTTGGGAAAATTTTGTCTGCATTCAGTGTGGATGGCAAACTAGACATGCAGCTTGTTCATTCCCAATTGGTTTTTCCTAAAATCTATAATAGCAAAAGGGAACCAAATGTTAGTTACTTACTGTGTTGTCTGAACCAGAGAGCTGGTCTGTTATATTCTTAAGAACTCTAAATAATAAATCAAAGTTTGTTCATGGTGTATGAACTGTGTTTTGCAAAGCATATAATGAATCATAATATGATTTCTCAGTTGAGAAGTCTCACAGGTGAAACTATTTCTGTTTATTTGGGAGAGAACAGAGAAGCAGGAGCCAGATATATATGGCGAGTGAGGCCTCGCTGAAACGTTGCCAAGACAATCTCAATCTTACACGGGAAAAGACCCGAATACAACAAGACCAGCATACCTACACCTGTGAAAATCTACAAATATATATATATAATAGAATTTTTAAAACATGTAATGTTTGTCCCTCATCAAAATACAGAGAGACATAAATCTGTGACAAATCTCTTCCTCAATAATGTACAGGTAGTCCTTGACTTACAACCATTCGTTCAATGATGAATGGCATGAAGTTACAATGGCATGAAAAAAGTGATTGATGATTGTTTTTCACACTTATGACTGTTCTAGCATCCTCATGGTCACATGATCAAAAGTTGGATGCTTGGCAACTGGCATGTATTTATGTTGGTTGCTGTGTCCTGAGGTCCTGTGATCACCTTCTGTGACTTTCTGACAAGCAAAGTCAATGGGGAGGCCAGATTCACTCAAGGACTGTGCTACTAATTTTAACAACTGCAGTGATTCACTTAACAACTGTGGCAAGAAGATCATAAGATGGGACAAAGCTTATTCAACAACTGTATTGCTTAGCAATGGAAATTTGGGGCTCAAATGTGGTCGTAAGTCAAGGACTATGTGTATTCATAATTATATTTTTCTTTTTAACATTGTGGTGAAAATCAAAAGAACTATTATATTGTTTCCTTGACCACTGATGCATTGATAGGATGATACAGCAAATGACAATCAAGCCTTGTATGCTACGCTATGCTGTGATAATATTATAGTATAGTGTAGTGTAGTGTAATGTAATAACACAATACAATATATTTGTGTATTTGATTAAGATAAGAGCAATCATTTTTATGTAGAAGGGTTTCAGGAACACCAAAGGTTGAAAACATTAGTAAAATGCTCAGCTCATATGCATAAATAGACCATCTGCAATATTTTTTCTTTCATAGTGCTCCTTTCTTCATCAAAAAATATAGACAAGAAAAGATCCTATTTTAGAAGCTTTATTTTGCATTCAATTGCACAATTTGCCAAACAAGATCAATAAAACTAAGTATAGTTTTAAAGTGATTATTGAACGTTTTGAAATAGAAATTGAGTTTTGATTCATTCAAATATTATTGAAAAGTGAGCAAATGTTTCTGTCTAATATCTCTAAAATCTGAACTGTTTGTTATATTGGGAAGTCAGCAAGCATAGTTATTTTTTGTCAAAGACATTCTGAAATTTGATATGTGCCATATGTTTGGAAGTTCAGGAAAAGTGTGCATAATGAATTTTGCAGCTCTTCAAATACAATTTTAAAAAATGCAAATGTTAGTGTAACAATCACATGTAAATAATGTTTGATTAATTCTATTAAAATAGCACTAGAAAAGACATACAATTTCAGCTCACTCACTGAAGGAGGGTGGACGTTTCCTACCGACTAATCACTTAGAATTTGGCCAAGTAAGTACTACTGTCAGTTAATATCACAGAAGTATTTTCTTTCATATAAAGACTGTTATTATGGTTTGTCACACAGCCAGATGTTTAGACTGACATAGACTGGCATTTTTAGTCCTGTATCAAGTCCTTCCCAAGGACCTGGGAGAGATAGATATTGTTGTTTGATGGTGTTAATGGTATTGTTGCAAGATGTAATTATGGTGATGATGATTATTAAACATTTACATTTAAAATGTGAATATTAAGATGAGATTCATATTCATTTTTAGTAAAATTGCAGTATTTCCCCTAAAGGCTGTATCAAATGCTATTTTTCAGTCTAGAAATGAATTTCAAATTGTGTAATGCTAATGTTTGGATGTTACACAGCAGAATACAACTTGTTATTTTAAAAAATTCTCAGAGATCCCCCAACAATGCTCAATCAATTGTAATGAATATTTCTACTTATTAAGGCAAGAATCTGTTTAACAAGCTTTCTTTCCCACTTTACTTTGTAACTGGCTTTTCTTCATTCTTTTTTCTAACACCTTCATGAGAATATTTTTGTCATAGAGCCTAAGTTACTCAGTACTATTCCCCTTCTTTCAGCTTATTTTTGAAAGTTCCTCTTTGTTTCTTCTACATTTTCTTTCGTAAGATTCCCTTGCTTCTTCTCGACTTCCCTGCCTCTAGCAAACATTTTCTGTCCCATCCAACTTTAGATTAATATATCCTTCATTTGAGCTCTTTATCATTATTTCCAGAGTTACATAACTTTATATTTTTCTACTCAATAGAAAAATATTCAATTAGAAATCTATAGATTTCTAAAGTTTAGAAAATAACCTTTCTTCTTTAACACATATAAAAAAAATAGCTGATACACTGGTTTTCTCTATAGCTTTATTTAATCCTGTAGTGATAAAACTGTATTTATAAAATTTAACAAGGAATTTACAGTGGCCTATGAAATATTTTCTTTCCATCCTATACTCTGGTTTCTCTTCAGATCGTATAATTCTTTCGCCTTTTTTTTTTCTTTCCATCCTGTTTCTCTGTACATTGATGAGTACTAATTTCTTATTTTATTGAGTAATGCATTCATAAGGATTCAGAAGTGTCCCCCTTAAGCAGAATAAGTGCCACCAGGAAGCTTAAAAATAAGACCCGAACATGATAAGAGCAGATAACAATTATTCAGTAATTCTGAAATAATAGTTATCATTAAAGGAAAATTATGCAAATAGCACAAAACTGCTATTAGAAATGACACAGTGATACAAATTTCCAATATGAGTCTTATTTTTTTGCCGTTTTCTACATCTTACATCTAAATGTTACAACTGTTTAGGAATATTTCTTGTAGTAAGTGGTCAAACAGGAAGCACAGACATTTCCTCTGGTATGTATGTATGTATGTATGTATGTATGTATGTATGTATGTACACATACACACACAAACGTAAAACATTATTTATAAACAGATTGCTGGAGTTAATTGGGCTATTGCTAGAAGATATTATTGCTATAATTGAAAATGGGCATTCACTCGCAATGAATCAATATCATTTAATTGTGCTAGAGACCAAACCTGATTTTGAATGCAAACTTTAAGTAGTCGCCTATTCATGTACAAAATTTCTATATTAAACTTTACTGATCTTACACAGTGATTACCTGTGGATGTTATCTTCACCCGAAGGAACTCCGCCAAGGTTTGCTATGCTTGTTACCTTCTGCAGTATCATAAGACGGGTAGTATTCTGTGGTGCCACAGAGATTGTAGCGGATACTTCATTCATACCAGTCAGACTTCCTGAAACAGTAAAAGCTGGATATCAATCAAATTAATATTAAAGACAATGTATATCACCTGAGAATACATTTGGTTTTTGTTAAAAGTTTAACTCTTCTTTTTTAAAGGAATTTTGGTATAATTTTTAAGAATACAGTACAAATATAAAATCAATTATTCCTATTATTCAAATTTCAGTTGCATGAAGTACTTTTTGATAATTTCTCTTCAGGTGACAAACAGATATTGAATGGCAACAGACAGAATAGCTGAGTTTCCCACCTCTACAAAGCTTGAATAGCATTTAGCTCTTTCAATTACACTCAAAGAACGAATGCATTATTACGGAAATTCCCCTTAAAAAGTGTACCTGTAAAGAAAAGAAGACACTGGATTGGAAACCAGTGCAAGAAAAAAATAAAGAGACATAACATAGGGTCACCCCTTCATTTCACGTGTAGCCCATGAAGCCTGATTACTGTCTTGTGAAAACTCATGTCAGTAATAGCTAATGTGCCACAGACTTTACTGCAGACAGGCACAGAACTGAAACGCATGTCTCTCTGCTCACTAGGATCAAATGGAAAGAACAAGCACATCCAAGTCCCATCTCCAAGTCCATTCAGGCATGGCTAAATGATAGGCAACAAGCAGTAATGGTTAGTGCTAGAAGCAGAAAAACACATTTATAGGAGTATTAACATGTTTAATTTGCTTGAATATCAAAGTTTCTTTGTCCTTTAAGCCAAATGTTTCACTCAAAAATATTAATATTATCCAGCTTTTTTTTTAACAGCAAATTTAGCTAGAGCTGTATGTTCTGTTGCAGATATTTAAAAACTGACATTAGGCAAATACTTTGAAAAAATACAGAAGCCATCTACGGCTGCTTTTAAACAAAAGCACAGGACTGGGATAACACTGTTGAGAGATGTGTGTACTCATTAAGGATTTAAACCTTCTCCATTAAGCTCTATTGAAGAGCAAATGCTGAATGAATGAATGCAACTATGTTTATGTTAAAAGCCTTTTTTCCGTACCATGTAATTAAGGGAAATATTGTACAAAGCCAGTACTTTTGTCAAGCTCCTGTAAATGGAAAGATGGATAGCACTCAGAGAAGGGAATGCATTGCTTCATATTTAACCTTAACACTCTTGTCATTAATGGTTTGTCTAACTTGTTCTATAAAGACAAGGTACTGCTCCATTGAAGTAAAATTTAAAAAATCAACTAAACCATGCTTTTCAGAACAGAAGATTCATTATCATTGACTAATGTATTGGCATAAAGCAAAGTAACATCCTATCAAGTAAGGCACACATTCAATCTGCCTTACCACTACCACCACCCCCTTTATTTTTAACTCATGCTGTTTTATTGTTATAGGCAATTTGTACCACTCAGCATGACAGTGTAAACTGAATCAAGATTAATTTACATGCAAAAGAACACTTAGCATGGTAAGCAAATGTATTGTCTCGATTGCGGAGGTGGAAAGGAACCTGAAAATAAAAAAAGGTGCTCTAATTAAGGGGCATCAAATATGATTGCTTGTGGTAGTTAAAGGCCGGAAAATAGGGAATGCTTGACCATTTAAAGAATTAGCACCTTGCTTGTTAGGGAGAGAGAAAATGTTGTAAGCATAAATCTTGATAAAAATCAAGCAAACATTTTGTGGATTTTCTTTTCTTTTTTTAAAGATATAGCCTATGTATATAAATCTACTGCTTGCACTTGGACCAAAATAGAAAGTCTAAAAAAAAAATCCAGAAAAACAAATTGCCACTGAAAAGAATTAGGTTTCAAAAACAAAATAATTGCAGATCTTGCATCTAATTATAAAAATGTATAATAACAGTATTCCTAATGAATAACCAAGAAAATTAAACTGTAGCATGAAGCTAGAAACACAAAGGTTGTAGGATATTTTTTTTAGTAATTTTAACATCATAAAAAATGCTAACATAATATTAAAATCATTGACAGATATTAGATCCTTTGGCTTCTTTCTAAAGAATTCTGGGTATTTAAGGAAAATGGCACGACACCTCTGTGAAGCGTGGTACCCTATCATATTACAGAAAGAATTAGCACTGGTATTATTAAATGATTTGCATCAATAAACACTGCTCAATATTTGAAGTTGGAAACATAAGCTAAAGGACAGACTTAATTTAAAATGATTATGGAGAGCAAAATTAGACAAATTTCAGCTGCTGTTTCAAACTATGTGAGAAGGGAAGAGGTAGCACAACAATCCTATCAAGTAGAGCATGTGCAATAATAAATAAACCTTCCCATTTTGGGGGGCTACTTAAAAATCTTAAGCAGGAATATTAGCATTCATCATACACATTATACTTCAAATATGTATGTTTATTTCTGTTGCAAAAAATAATTCCAAAAATTATTATTATTATTTTAAGAAATCCTGTTATTTCAAAGCATATTTTAAAAATCAATAACTATGAAATGAAGTATTTCTGGATATGAAATTCTGAGACACTTCAGAAAAGAAACAAAAACTCAGAAATCATTCTATATTGATTACATTATACTTGGAAGGTCCTTTAGCATAGAAAACTATGGGAAATTAGGAGAATCCTATCTGAGATTTATACTGCAAATATCTGCAAATTTAATCAGATGCTACTGATAGGAATAGAGATTATTTTTAAGTCGATACAATATATCCTGGATTTCACTATTAGTGTTAGGAATATAATCTAACGGTTGGGTTGGCAATATATAAATCATGTAACAATGCTATACCTGTTTC